AAAAGCTGGGATGATGGGTGGAAAAAAGTAGACAGCACAGAAGGTAAAATGTGTACTGCACAAAAAAAAATGGTCAACAAAGAATGTTATTCATCTTGTCGACAAAAGTTAGGGTTCTGTATCAGTAATGTGGTACCCGCGAAAAAGTAAACGGCCAACTGAACGTCCCTGAACCATAGGAGAATCCAGAACGGCTTCCTGGTGGGAGAAGGGGAAAGGGGGGATTGGACGATTTCTTCTTCCCCCCTCCCTCCCACCTCCTCATCACTATATTGGAAGCCTCACTACCCCACTTCTCCCCCCTCGCTGGTCGACCCTAAAACTGCGGCGACAATCGAGGGAGAAGAGGGAGAAGGGGGAAGAAAGTGGGACTCCTTGGGAGGAGGGGAGTGGAACACCCATCGCCCCCTTCTCCCTGGATCCGCCAATGCCCTGAAGAGGTTGCGCAAACACATCGGGCAAGCGTGGCAATATGCAGCTTAAAGCTTGGCATGGCTGTCTTCGGTGTATAGGGCCATTACCAATAATATCACAAGCACACGGTACTAATACCAAACTGATGGTTTTAGTATTTTTGTTATTTTAGGCAGACACAGAAACGTAAACAAAACGAACCGTTTGAGTGTTAATTTTTAGTACAGGAAGCTGATGTGGGAAAACTCCACGCAATGTACATTCTCGACGAATTTCCATCAAAATTAATCCCAAACGATTCCCACCAAGATAAGGTGGTCGAAATGCCAGCGGGCGCACCATTGAATCAAATAACTGCAATCAAAAAAAGCTGCAAAATGTAACGCAATACATAAGCAGTGCTCAAAATAGAATTTGTTTTTAACACTTATGCTAAATTTAAAACATCTAAATTTACAAGGGAATACTGCCAGTGCTGTGGAACGGTCTACTTGAACGGCGATATGGAATTATGCAGGTGAGAAAGATCCCAAATGGGGGAGATTGGAGAGTTGCCAGCCTCAACACGGCGAATTGAAACAGCATCTGATTAACGCAATAAAATATTTAAAACGGTGATTTGTAACACAAATTGAGTTTTAGTCAGCTCAACATAAACTATATATACAGGCGGATCCAGAATGAATT